GTCTATGGCTGTCATAAAAAACTATTTATTTAAAAGGCGTGTAAGTCAAGTTTATCCATTGGTAGAGTCATCTTTAATGAGCTTTCAATGGATTGCCCAAGCGCGTAAATTTCGTCACACATATTGCGCATATTTTCTCATCATTCTCTGACCGGAAGCAAACTTTTTCAAATTTAAATTAAAAATACGCATACAGTCAAGAGTGAGTGACCCTGGAAAACGCCCTTAGCATACAACTATATGTAGACAATTATAGATATTTATGTCTAAGTATATCTACGCAACATTGACTTCTGTCTTGGACTTGGTCCCTCTTCATATATAACTCCCTCTCCACTGAGGCCCAGCCCAACACAATTCACACTTGATTGCACTTGCCCACAATATGAGACTACATTAAAAATCGAGCCAAGAACATTGTCATGAGTGTTTCAGTAGAGCAGTTTACTGTGCGCATGGCTCGTGAACTCAGATTGAACTACTTCCTGCTCTCTCACATAATTTTCAATAAATTTGATGCATTTCTTTGGACTTGCCCCAATTCGGCCTTGTTTATGGTTTGGCCCCAAATATTAACAACGTTTCTGGCCGCTTCCGATTCATATTCAGGGCACGCTTCTTGCTGCTCTTATCTCGACAGACGACGAAATACATGAGAGACCATACAAAACGGTGCAGAGGCACGTATTATTAATTAGCACACATGCCCACTGCGACGACGAAGCCCGTTTCACATGTGAATGTGTGTGTGTGTGCTTCCTTCCCTGTGCATGTGTGTGTGCAACGTATGGAAATGTAAATGAAAACGGCAACAGAAAACTCAAGGGAATCACTTATGCGACAATGTTTTGGCATGCAAAATTCAAAGAAACTAAATATATCGTATGTAAAGTAAAGTAAAGTTAAGCAAGCCGAAAGAAAAAGATAAGTTGGCGGCTGTCTCTTTGAAGTGTCTCTGTTGTCCAACTCACGACCATTTATTAGTCACTTAACTGTCAATTTCACAACACTTGAAAGAACTATAATAAGCAATCAAAAAAACAACGGCAATATATTCGGCAAGATGAAGATAAAACAAGTAAGAAAGCTCTAGTCGAGACTGCTCGACTACGAGATCCCCT